ACATTCCCTTGCCAAAACAGGAGTGTCACCAGTAACCTCATCACCCTGCACTGAACACACGCTGAGGTCGCTATTAATCAAAGCAGTTAATGGCTGGGGGAAAACCACTTGTAGGCAGCCTGTTACATAGTTCCAGAGATCGGTATTAAATTAGCCGTCTAATTTGCAAGTGCCTGGAGTCTCTGTTGGAGCAGAAGGCTTGCGGGGTGGCTGCTGACCCTCTCTCGTGAGACGCTGTTTCGCGCAAGAGAAATTGGATCCTGCTGGAATCTGGAGAATGAGACAGGAGCCTGTTGTTTGCATCCTGCAACTGCTCCAGAAAGCTGGACTGTGCATTAAAACCGAAAGGGAAGTGGTGTAAACTGGAGGCGTCTTGCGTTTTCAAACCTAATTAGCTGTCTTTTCATTCAGGCAGCCCCCCCCCTCCGTGTGGCCCTTCTAGGGAACCTTCCCTTGCCAAAACAGGAGTGTCACCAGTAACCTCATCACCCTGCACTGAACACACGCTGAGGTCGCTATTAATCAAAGCAGTTAATGGCTGACGGCAAACCACTTGTAGGCAGCCTGTTACATAGTTCCAGAGATCGGTATTAAATTAGCCGTCTAATTTGCAAGTGCCTGGAGTCTCTGTTGGAGCAGAAGGCTTGCGGGGTGGCTGCTGACCCTCTCTCGTGAGACGCTGTTTCGCGCAAGAGAAATTGGATCCTGCTGGAATCTGGAGAATGAGACAGGAGCCTGTTGTTTGCATCCTGCAACTGCTCCAGAAAGCTGGACTGTGCATTAAAACCGAAAGGGAAGTGGTGTAAACTGGAGGCGTCTTGCGTTTTCAAACCTAATTAGCTGTCTTTTCATTCAGGCAGTGCAACTTGATGGACTCCTGGATGACAAATTACAAAAACTGCTGAGGGGTGCGTGCTGCAAATCTATTTCAGCTGGTCCTTGAAATGGTTCCTTTTTTAAAGCTCACAATGGGCGTTTCCTGTTCTCTTGCTGGATTCCTGGGGAGCAAGTTTGCAAATTGTCTCCTTGACTGGGTTTTCCAGGAGAGTGCCATTGCTGTTTCTGTAACTGTTGTGATAGGAAGGGTGTCATTCTGGCTCGGCTCTCGCCATGCGAGCTTAAGATGGCAATCTCACAGGCATTTAAGAAATCCTTCCTCTGTGTAATTGATTGTGCAGTGAATCAACATACAATCAGCTTTCAGGGTGTATTTGCGCGTTTGACATATTAGTTTTCTGAGGTCTCCTGTCCATGTATTATAAAATGCTCCCGACCTGCTTTCTTAGCTTGCATGCGGTGACTGACTGAAGTGTATGTTCTTGCAAAGCACGATCACACATCGGGCTCCCAGCACTTTGCAATGGTTGGAAGCAGGGCTGGATTACCCAGTAGGCAGACTAAGCCCGTGCTTAGGGGCACCAAAAAAAAGAGATTTTTACGGTATAGTATTGTTTTTATTTTGAAAAAGTGGCGAGGAGTCCTGTGGCCGCTTTTGCAGATTCAGACTAACACAGCTCCCCCTCTGATACTTTTTATTTTGAATTACATATGGGGAGGGCATCATAATCTTTTCAGTGTTTAGGGCCTCTAAGGGTCTTAATCTGGCCCTGGTTGGAAGGAAGATGCTGTTACAAGCTAAGTGTAGACTTTGTTTTTATTTTGAAAAAGTGGCGAGGAGTCCTGTGGCCGCTTTTGCAGATTCAGACTAACACAGCTCCCCCTCTGATACTTTTTATTTTGAATTACATATGGGGAGGGCATCATAATCTTTTCAGTGTTTAGGGCCTCTAAGGGTCTTAATCTGGCCCTGGTTGGAAGGAAGATGCTGTTACAAGCTAAGTGTAGACTCTTTGTATGGAAATTGCCTGATAGGAGTCCCCTGCAGTAGCCCTAGAGACTTGCCTTGTATCTAGATTGCCAATTGCCTGACAAACAGTTGTGATTTGCAATGTAAGCTTGGCCTCTACTTGAAAACTATATTGGCATATGGATGTGGGATGGGACTTGGAAAAAACCACGCCCCAGCAGAGATGTAGCCATGTTGATGAAATAGTTCTGGGAGGTGGTGTTTCTTCACTGGAAGAAAAAAATACAGCAAGCAGGTGATGTCTCCTACCAAATTCACTGTCCATTTTGAAAACAAGTAGTCCTGTAGCACCTTAGACTAACAAAATAAAAAGCATGAGCTTGCTTTCGTGGGCAAAACCCGCTTCCTCAGATGAACAGAGACTGTCTATTTTGGTCAGTTTCGCAGTCATAGCATTTGTGAAATCCACAGCATCAGATACTTAAATTTTTAGATTTCATCGGGTTGTCACAAAGCATAAACATGTAAAGCCCTTCAGACAGCATTTCTCAAACGGGGGGTCCCAATCCAAAAGGAGGTCACAAAGCTATGATGGGAGAGGATTGCATATTGTCACCCTTATTTCTGCTCTTATCTGTAGAGCCAGGTGGTCAGACCATGGCAGCTTCTGGCTGAAAACCCAGTTTTGAAGGCAGTGCCACTGCAGTATTATCACAGAAGTAAGGATTGCAATACAGTGCCCTCTCTACAACAGCCACACTTTGCAGGGGAGATCATGGTCTGGATGGAACACTTTTTTCACAGCCGTGAATTTGGTAGGGCCCTGTTTATAAGAGCTTGAGCCTGTTTGTTATGCTCTGCCGTGTGTTGGAGTAAAGTCAATTTAGAGCCGAAAATCTTGTGTTCTCATCTTGCTATCAGGAACGGTCTGTAAGTGAGGGGGAGTTAGTATTTCAGTGTGTGGAAGTAGGGAGGACTCCGAGGCTATGTCTATACTGCTGATTTTTTGGCAGAAGATATGCAAATCGCAGCTCTCCTTTGCATATCCTCTGCCGCTCCTTTTTGTGGGAGAGGTTTTTCCACCAAAAAGCGCTGTGTAGATGGAGCCATTTGTCGGGGGAAAAAAACCCCTTTTTCGCAAGATCCCTTATTCCTCAAAAAATGAGGTTTACAGGATCTTGAGGAAAAAGGGGTTTATTCTGAGAAATGATCCTGTCTACATGGGGCTTTTTAGTGGCAAAATCTCTTCTGCAAAAAGGATCCAAAGAAGATATGCAAATGAGCATGGTTTGCATATCTTCTGCAGGGGGGGAAAAAGGCAATGTAGACAACCTGAGAGTGAGGGTAAGGAGGGAAGGAATCTATTCAAATCTTGTAGCTAAAAACTAAAAAGAGTCTGCGAAAGGAAGGAATCTGTGCAGTGAAATTAGAAGCCTGTTCAGTCTGCCATGCTGCCGTGCTTTAGGGAACTTGTAGAGGAGAGGTTGTCTGGCTGGTATTCGCTTAATTAATTAGGTTTACAACAAAGATGAAAGGACAATGCCAAAATGTTGCTGGGAGTTGCCTGGGAAAAAATGCTCTTGTATAAGGAACCTGAAAAGAGAATCGGAGTTAAAAAAATGGATGCCATAAAATCAGTACGAACATGTATGCGTGAACGCCCTGATGTTCTTTGTACTCATTAGGGAGGGTGCATGTTTAATTATATGGCGAATGCAATGAGAGCTGGGTGCAAGGGAGTCCAGGCAGTGTGCTTGGTGCTGCCGTAACTGCACAAAAGGCACCTGAACATGCGTTTTCGAAGTTGGAGGGCTTCTCCACTCTTGAAATGCTGCAATTGCATTTTGTGGCTCCTCTGCGTGCTGATTCATTACAGCGACAGGAGGGGTTCTCCGATACAGACAGTTTATTTACCTCCCCCGAAGTTGGAAGGGTTCTTCCCGTGACTAGAACCCTCTATGTGAGGACATGGCCTGGTTTACCTGCATTTCTTAGGGGGGTGGATTTGAGAGTCGGAGAGAGCGAGCTGAGCTGACTTCACTTTTGCAGGCAGACCTGGTCTCGGATGCTTCTGTTGGTGTGAAGTAGCTAAACACAAAGCAGCTGGTCTTTGGGCTTTCTATCCTGGACCGATATCTGCCCCAGTGTGGAAAATTGAACCTAGCACGTGGTGTGGATAAAGGTGGCTGGTGGGAATTTTGAAGTCGGTGTGATACTGTATCTTCGATTTAAACCCTCTATTCTCACTTAAGAGTGAATATTGTAGCAAAGCCTGCTTAGATCTGACCTGCAGAAGATACGAGTGGTGCGTGCAAGATGAGACAAATTGTGCTTGTGGCTTTCTTGGGTAGAAATGAAAAGTTTGGGAACGGCAAAAGACACACACAAACACCTTTGGCCATAATACCAAACGCTCTGAAATTGCCTGGCGTTCTGCAGAGTATTTAAAGATGCCCTTTTCTTCCAGGCCAAAAAATAGTCTCAGAACAGAAACTTTCTGTCCTGAAAATGTGCTATTTATTCCCAGGATCTGTGTCCACGTTCTGAATTCTCGGGGAGGGTGGTCTGCACCTGGGGCATGTTCCTTGCGGGTGTATTCCCATCCGACTGGATGGCAGGACTGAGCATTTGAAAGAGGAGGCATTTAGGTGTGTTCAGTAGCTTGGGGTGTGTCTTGGGAACACTTCTGCAATGAGTCATGCTGATCTGTGCCTGAAGGGCAGGGCCCACTTTCAGCTTCTCTACTAACATGCTGGGGGTGATGTCAGCATGAGCTCTGAGCTTGTGAGTCAGGTGTTGGTGCGCTCCGGAGGACTTTCAAACCCGGCCTTTAGCCACGCTGGCGGTGCCAGTCCCAGTAGAAAAGCAAAGCGACGCATGACAGATCAGTTGTGGGAGTGAAGTGGCAGGTCCGCTGGGTCTCACCCACGCTGCACCTGCTTGGGCGACTGATTAAAGCAGACATGTTCTTGCAGGGAACTAGTGAGTGCCAGAGGGGAGGGCAATGGAATGAGAAGCAGGAGTTTTTCTCAGCTCTTACACCGACTCCCTGCGTGACCTTGGGTGAGTCACTCCTTCCCCTGGCTCTGTTCCCCCTCCGCTGCCTTGTCTGGACCACTGAGAGCTTTATCAAGCCAATAAGGAAGTGTGTACTCGCAGTGTTTTGCCCTGGGATCCCCTGGAAACGCCTGTTTGCAAGCAAGTGCTTGCTCTTTCTCCCCGGCACTCTGTAGTAGCCACAGATGCTGGCAGACTCCTAGAGTGGGTGCCCCTAGAAGTAGTAGCCCTCCCCAGGCAATGTAAGACCCTTTCCTATTCAGACACATTGCACGTAGCCAGTCAAATCTGCCCCTCGTTTTTCTTGCCTTGCTAACTGCAAAATAAAGGTTCTTCCCTGCCAACTACTGGAACGTGGTGGATTTCTGCACCTTAGATGAGCTTTGTGCCATGTTTCCATCGCCTGTCAGCACGGGATCCGCCTTCAGCTGAATGAAGCTATTCAGATGTTTTCTGCTAGTGTTTCTCAGCATCCTCTTCCTTTGAAATCCGTCTCTTCCCATGGGCCCTGCCTCTCCAGTGTTATCCGAATGCACCTGGCGTAAGCCCGTCTGGAAACACAATCTTTGCTCCATAGTGCTGCTACACATACAGGCAGTCCTCGAGTTACGCGGATCCGACTTACGTGGGATCCGCAGTAACAAACGAGGATTTTCTCGCCCCGGAGGACTGGAGCAGCGGGACGCCTGGTCCCGCCGCCTGCCTCCTCTGGGGCGAGAAAAGTTGCTCCCCATCTCCCTAGTCTGCTGGGGGAGCCAGCAGACCAGGGAGACGGGGAGCAAAGCGGCGGCAAAGCTGATCTGGAAGCGCCGCGGGTCCGGCCCCCGGTCCTCCCCCAC